TGTGTGTGTGTATGTGTGTGTGTGTGTGCATGTGTGTGTATGCGTCTGTCTGTTTTGTCCGTTATGCTTTTCCTACCAACTACAGTTCATTTTATATGCAACGAGTTTTTATTTCGTATGTATTTATCCAAACTCCGACATTTTCCTCCCTTCCCATCTTGTTTTCCTGTTGTGTTGAATTTTTATCAAATTCGTTGGTGAAATAAAAACTTTGCTTCACTTATTGTCTAAATGAAAAATCGAAATGATGACAACGGATAACATAGGAAAGGATGAATGTATGGAAATTTTTGAAACTTTTACCAGGAAAAGATTTCATTGTAGTTAAGGAAGAGTTTTTAACAATTATCTTAATTAATAAAATATTTGAATAACATGATTTATCTTGCTAGGCTAAAATAAGAACTGGAAAGCGAACAGATGCTATGAACATAAATCTCAAACCATCAAATTAATGTCAAGATTTTAAAATAATATTAATTTCGAAATTCGTCTACTGTTTTAAGTTCGTTTGATTCTAATGTAAATAAAGAAATTCGACATGTGCACTAACTAATATATGCTACATGAAACTCAATTTCTATCCAATTTCAGCTAAATAGAAGATATCAAAATATATTTGATTGGAAGAACAAAAAGAGCAAAAAAAAGCTGAAATTGAATGCAATGATGAACAACAATTTCATTTATCAACAAACAAAAGTAATTTATGCACAATTTATTTAAGTGTTACAACGATCACTTAACAAAAATTTTCATCCTGAAGCGATCTATAAAAATTGCTAATTACGAGAAAAAAAAGTGATTAAAATATCATTTGTAAAAAGTAAAATAAAATAGAAAATGAACGGGAACCGGTTGATATTGTTAAATGTTTACTATGTCGTGTAAAATTTTCAAACCGTATAATAAATGTTTAACTTGCCGATATTTCTATTTAACACCATTAACCTTATTTTCACATGTTTATTCCAAGCCATGCATTAACAGTTGTAAACAGTTCCATAATCAATCATTTTCTATCATTTTCTTATTCTTTCATTTTAACCTTGCTAATATTGAAGTGATATTGGTTAAGAATGTTAATGTAAATTGCTATTCATACAAGCAAATATATGCATTTCTATCGAATTAGGTAGTTAATTCATTTTTAAAATCATAATTTAATGGTTGAGATCTGCGGATAACACAGTAATTTGAAAGTTATTTGTCATTCATTGATTATTACAACATTTTAACAAAACAGAGATTTCTTTTTCTCTTCTTTTTATATAATGCAATAATGTATTATTCTTGGCATTATAAATAATTAAAAGGACATAGCTATGATAGTTTGTGTCTTGGTTAGAAAGTTCCGAATAGCTGTAGAAGTAAGTTCTTTTGTATGCTTTAGCCTAGAAAGACGCATTCAAATTCCTGAAAAAGAAATAAAGAAATAAAAAGAAGGAATCGTTGCAATGAACCAATTTAGTTTTGAAAATCTTTAAATAACATTTTTGAACTAGTAAGAACACCCATACATTATAAGTATAAACTGCAACTCACATATTAATTAGCAGTCATTATTAAGTATTTTCAATTTAATTTTTTTCAACGAAACTTCAGATCAGTCTGATATTGTTAACATATTTAGAAAATCAATTTCAAAGCTAGCAGAATTTCTTCTATTCTTTTGACATCTGAATGAGCAGAAAGAAACGACAACTTTATCGTTCATCCCGAATATTGTAAAAAGATATGTCATTACTTTTCTACAACTTCCACTGAAATAATACATTAAGTCTTGCAATATTTGAGGTACCGCTTGGTCCATCTTGAGAATCATGCTGATACCTTATTCTATAGCATTCATTACTGACAAGTGGTTCAAAATGTGCTATAGCTTAATTTCTTATTCGTTTGTTTCGAATCTTTTGTTGAAATTCGAACCTGGAATTGAACACTTAGGTAGATTTGTCGATGTAGTACCTGGAATTATTGACAGATATAAATTAAAATTTCAGTTAACGCTGATGATCGTCTATAGTGTATACGCGTAAGCTAAGCATAATGTAGCGGGTAGCGAGGCAGTGAAAAAGACGGATTTTAAAGACTGCTGCTACCCACACAAGTTAACGAAAGAAGTTTCAACCTGATAAAACAATGAAATTCGGAAGAAAAGCATTGACTTCAATTCTTAGCAAGCAAAGGAAAAAGATGCCAGCACTTCAATCACAGAGTCAACACGAATTTTAAAACTTAAATAGGCTTCAGTTCAGGTTAAAGACCACTTCACAGTAACGTCAGTGCAAAAGAATTAAAATCCCACAACAAAACAAGGAAGTTTTACTTCAAAAAAGCACGATCTAATCATGGGTTCCAGAAGATCGTAGAGCATCTATTTGAGCTGAAAGGATGAAGAAATTGATTTTCGCAGACGCACAATACTGCTTCAGAATTATGCATATTAATGTACGAAAAATATGTACATCTTCATTTGTTTCATTCTCAAAAAATTCTTTTCATATCGATTCTACCTTATTTCGAGTCCGCACAATTCGACCTCACAAAATCAAAACGTTCAAAAAAGGAAAAAATTAACTAGAACTTATTTCATGAATACACCATGAGAATTATTTCATGAATATATCATGCTAAAAAAGCGCATAATCCAGTTTAGCAAGCACGATAAACTGATTGGAGCAATATTCTGGATAATTTCTTTAGATATATGTTATGTACACATCCAGTTCTGGTATAGCTTTCTCCCGAATGGTATTAATTGATTCACTTTATGGATTTGCAACTTTAACGAAATATATTTGCCATCTTTTTTGTAAAATAAGTCGATCTGACAACACTTATTAGTGACCGGTAGAACGTTTGGGTTTATATAAACGTGGCAAGCTTAAGAGTGCTTCGAAACAATAGAACTTTTGCTAAACGGTACTGTTCTATTGACTCATACTACTACGAAACAGTTTTGTTGTAAAGTTTAAATTACTTAATACTTTCTCAGAACTGCAATTTGTGTTTAAAAAAATCCATTAATAGACAAGATTTCAGCAATTAATTTCTTCTGGTATTTTTCCTTCTTTTTCAATCAAAATTTCTGATAAAAATAAAACACAAAACTGCACGAAAATTGTTGATTTGAGCCACACGAAATTTTTAAGCATTGTTCATGAAGCTAAAAACCAGAATGAAAAAAAAGTTTTATTAAAAACAGATTAGACAGTAGCAAGCAACTTTTTTTAGATTACTGGGGATACAAATTCTGATAGAAAAAAGATCGTAACATATGCAAGGGAATGATAAAATAAGACGCATAGCAGTATCATAAAATCCACAGCGGGAACAATAAACTTTGCGTAAAACTTACCATTGCACAGTAGGGAAAGATTTTTAAAAAGAAAAAAAAAACGTTGAAAATAGAGGCCATAACCAGCTGGATGGCCAGTTGTTTCAGTCAGCGTATCAGCAATTTCTCGCCATCTTATAATCTTCATGGCTTCATCATCAGTAAGTGTTTCAAAGCTTTATTCTCTCGCATTAACTCCAAGTATTTTTTCTTCAGCTCATAATTTTCTTTTTTCAAAATCAACTTCTCAACGGCCGACTCCATTTCCCTCTTCTCCAAAGCCAAATTATCCAAATAAGCTTTATGCAGCTAAATATGTGATTTAGGATTAAAAACATTTTTTCTACATTCTCTTTATTTGAAAATTTCATTTTTACTAAAATGATTATACTTTCATATGTTGAATCTCTGCCTTTCATTGCAAACAACAAACGGAGGAAAAACAAATCCAAACATTAATCGCTGATAATAATCACTTCTATAATTTTTAACTTTTATTCGAAGAAAAAAAAATTTTTTTAGAGATAAAGAAACAAAAAAAAATTTTAAAAAAATCTTGAAAACATAGCCTAATCTCAGCTGTCTTAAAACAAGGGGACAAATACCTTTCGTAGAATGTCACGGTAATTCGCCAACTTTTTCGCAGTGTCTGAAGTGTTATTCGAAGTGTCATCAAAATAAAGTAACGATACAATATCCGCCATTTCTGATGGTTGATAACATTCAGGGCAAGAAGTCCAACCCTAAATTTAAGGAAAAATTGAACGGATTCTATAAAAATTCTGATGATAACTCACCAAGAAGTCTAAGAGAGATCAGCTATGCAAAATTACAGTACTTCTTTTTCCTGACCATGATGGCTCCTGGCCTGTTCTCACCAAATTATCCTTTCGCTCTTATTTTACATAAATGCCGAAATTCCGAGAAAAATATAATAAAGCTCACATATATGAAGAAGTACATGATGCACATGAAGTGAAAAAGATGTCCACAACGAAGAGCTGAAATATCGTCCTGGGAAATACTTTCTTTACAAATTGCACAGCATACGAAGATTCTGCAATACACTCATCGCTGTCACTAGCTTCTAATTTTCATCCTTAGATCTTTATCCCAAACATTACGAAATCAAAACTTAAAATTTGAAGTCGCAACGCTTTTGCGACATTCTGATCAACTTTGGCCGTAAATAAACAGACAATACCTTTTTGCATCAGAACAACCGGATGCACCTGGTGCGCTGGAATTAGTAGATTCGCCTACCATGATGAACAGCTGACTGACAACTAGGTTGACTGAAATGAAAATAATAAGTGGAGTTAAAAACAAAAGAAGATACTTACATTCAATTGCTAGCATATCATTTATAAATCTTTAAATAGCAGAAACAGACGGACACAATAACATACAAAATTTATTTCTTTTTCGACTACTTGAACAGATTTTCACTTTCCTGAATTAATTGGGATGGCAATGACAAGGTCATAATATAACAGATGAACTGATTGTATTCTTTTCCCCAAAACAAACTACAACACGTTTTTTACCTGACAAGATTCAATTTGTGTTTTTAAGAAACACAACCACTTTCCTCTTTTCCTCTCTCATTCCCCCTTATCGCCCAAGTAAGTCTGTAAAAACCAACCTATATAGTTTAAAAATAACAATAACTGAACATATTTTCAAAAAGTTCAAGTTAAATTAAATGAAATATTGGAAGCAACCTCCGGACAGCACGCTAACGAATGGAAACTAAACGTCATGAGACTAGAATTGCACTTTTCAACCGGAAAACCGGTTACCAAGCTAAGTGATTCGACAAACTTTCAGTAAATTCAGTACCACTCTATTCAAAAGGCCAAAAGTGCGGACATCAGTTTGCCTCCTTTAGAGGATAGTTGCTACCATCCTAACTGGAAAGCCAATATGCTACCACGCCTAGAATGTTGAATCGGGTAGGAAATTTCCAGCAGTGCTAGACATTAGCTATCTGGAGAGCCTCCTATGCACAGTATATTGAACAGGACAGCCATTTTCCAACAGTTGGCGAACTACGATAATCATCAGTACGTCGAACCGGATCCATTTTTAGACATATTGGCACCGTCCTGTTTAAGAAGCCGACGTGTTGCCATGTCAGTATGTTGAACCGGTTGGATAATTTTCGGCATTATTGGCGCACCATTCTATTTGCAAAACTATTGAATTAAACCGCATGGCCAATTTCCGACATCTCAGCATCATTATGTTTGAAAAATCTGTATGTCGAACCGGAGTCCATATCCGGAAATTTTGGCACGACCATGTTTGAAAAGCCAATGTGTTGCCATGCTCGATATAATGAACCGGAGGCCAATTTCCGTAAAGTTAACACCATGTTGACTGGAAAACTAATCAGTTTAAGAAATAAGACCTAATCGCAAGCCACCCAATTCACAGTAAATCAGCAGACATAAATGTGAGCTCGTTTCCAGGACGAGGTGCTTCCCGCCTCCTTTACGTTCAAGCCAATCAATGCACAAATGCGAGCTCGTAGATCCATTTCAGGACAGAGCTCTTCCCGCCTCCTTTATTTTGTCACGTACACTATTCGTTCAAGCCAATCAATGCACAAATGAGAGCTCGTAGATCCATTTCAGGACAGAGCTCTTCCCGCCTCCTTTATTTTGTCACGTACACTATTCGTTCAAGCCAATCAATGCACAAATGCCAGCTCGTAGATCCATTCCAGGACGAGCGCTTCCCACCCTTTTCATTTTGTTGCGTGCACCATTCGTCCATTTGAAGCCAATCAATACATATAATACTAGCTCGCTCGTCGACACATTCCAGGACGGGCGCTTTTCACCTGCTTCATTTTGTCACACACACGCTATTTAAATACGATTGGTCCTAACACGAAAGTATGACAACTGTCTATTGTCTGTGCTAGCGAGGTGTTTTTATTTTCTGCTCTTCGTCTGAGATCTGGTGATTGTGGGGTGATTTCTGTTTCATCGGGAAATTTGGGTGAGTTTGTGAAGCATTTCGTCTCATCCGAAAATGACAAGATGGGGAGGCTTAAAAAATCAAAAGGAAGAAAACGAATAATCAAGAAGAAATGAAGTGTTAGACATGTGAAACATCGGTCATATGGTGGCGCAGCTGGTTCGGTTAGAATTTCTTCTAAGTGGTGACTTTGGCTTTTTTTCCTTCGAAATTTCTTCTGTGAAATCAATTTCGTGGATGTAGATATTTGCTTGGATATTCTTCCATGCGCGGAATTTTCGTTGTTTTAAAATATGAAGATAACTGAAATTTTAATGTTTTCGCCGTCCGTTAGCATGTGTGCTTTTAATACGGTTCATGCAAATGAGGAATTTATGCGGCCTTTTCTAATTGGCTCGGGGTGCAGGGCTTTTTTTCCAAATCATCACAAAGGACTATTTCTGTTGAAAATTATTAGTGTATAGTTCGTGAGGTTTGAGCGTCCCGGAAATTTCTGAAGACTACGATAATTTTGTAGTGTAACACGTCCAACGATAGGATTTTGAAGTAAAATTTTCATGCATGCTATTATTAAACAAATCATGTGCTGCGTGGCTCAGATTTTAGGTTCATTTCGTCTTTAATTCTTTGGATGATCTGGATGATGCACGAACAGTTTATTATATGTAACTTATGTCATTCTTTATGCATATGAACTTTCTTATCAATACTTTTTTCTTTCTTACAGAGATGCACGGGCTGCTGTCACTTAGCGTGCGCCCAATACATATTCAAAGAATAACCACTCTGAAAGCAATCCGTTATTTCTCCAAAACTACTACACCACTTCGATGTAAGATTGAAATTGGTAAGGAGGCAAAAAGTTTGGTTGAGAAAACAGCGAGAAAGATGGATCCGTTTTCTGCTGTGCAAAATGAACCAACTATGAAGTTCGTTGCTTTGAAAGAATGTATTTGAAGAAGAAAGTTTGTGGAGTAGAAGTTTTGATTTTATTTTTTTTTCAGCTTCAGACATCATATTGGCTTTCATGGGTTCGAACTGTACCCTATTCAAGGTCAAGTTATTGCATGGGCTATTGTACTTGTACTCATAGCCTACTATGCCTTTGCAAAAATTGAAATCGTTATTGATCGGAGTAAGTTTCATCATTTTTTATCTTTTATTCTTATTAATTTTTTTAAGCTTTAGATGATTAGGAGAAAAGGTTTAAGTGTGCAGTTTTGAAGCCTTAGAAAAAAGGAAGTAGTTTAATTGTGATTAAGATATAACTTTTGCGTTTACAGATTAATATTTAAAGTGTAAGAAATGTAGAACGTCGGTATTTTTATCCAGCTCCAAAGATCTCAAGGCGATATCACTTGCATTTCCTTCTTTAACATGTTGAAACTGTACATATATTAAAAATTAGCTATCATTTTTGTCACATGATAATGATTCGCAATTTTCAAGGCTATAAGAACGCTCCATTTACTTGGGCTACAATGAAAGATCGTGATCGTGATTATGTTGCTTTTGGGTAAGAATTTCAAAATAAATTAGTTGTTCGTTTGACTTTTGAAGATCCACTGCAGTTCATTGATTTAAGGGCTTCGCTTTGTACAGTGGATAGTCTAGCAGTTTTTACTAATGGAATAATTTTTGCAGTTTCGAACCAAAACCAGCAATACCACGTTTGGATTTGATGGAAACACTGCAAGAAGAAATGATTGAGGAAGCAAGAAGACGTGGTACTCGTAAGTAAGTCGAGAATTTACACAGCCATGTTAGTTTTGGAATCCTTTTCTTCAGTATCTACCGTAATATTCACAATATTTGGACTTGTAGTGAAAATGATATAGCAGGAACAGTGATTGTCATATTTACCTTCATGTTATGCACAGATTCCATAATGTTACGATTGATTTTATTCAGTTTCATGTGTTATTTTTCGTAATCTTGTCGTTGTGGATGCTGGAAGAAGAAATACGATCTATATTTCCCGGAAAAGTTCTAGATGAGAATTTTAGAAGCGTGTCATTTTTTTAATCATATGTTTCTAATAGATGTACCACGTGGATTTTTTCATCGCTACAGCAGAATATTGTTTTGGATGATCGGATCTCTTTATTTTGCGTAACGGAAAGGCTGTTTTTACTTTGATATGCTTTGGACAATTTTCCACTTTATTGTTTGGAATATATGGTTCTTTTTTCCCTTTCCTTTGCTTTATTTTACAATATTATTTAAACTATATAGTCCAGATAAATTCTTTGTCACAATATTGGACGTTGAACAGTTTCATCCGCACAATGGCCTCTTTAGAAATATTCCAAACACTTTAGATTTATAAAAAAGTAAATAGTATTTTTGAAAATTTACGAAAAAAAATTTTCAGGAGACATTTTGCTTTGTTTTTTGAAGTAAACGAAAAATCTGGATATTAAAAGCCCCACTACCACGAAGTATTTATTTTTTACAATGATTGTTTCTGCTTATTTTCTCTTCGCTTCCTAACAGAAATATCATTTCATAATGTGCTTTTTTTATTCTTTGTTTAGCGTTACCATATTTATTGTACATCACATAAATATCTTAGACCCATAAACTGTCTTCAACTTTAAACAACGGTGATCTTTTCTATGAAATGGTGAAGAAGAAATGTGAGTCTCGAGGACGTTTCGAGATAAAGTTAGCGATTGCAGCGATTTTCAGAATGCATATCGTTTTACATGAATGTATTAGTGGGTTTTCGATGTCTGATTATTTATGTATTGTATTATATTGCTGTGTAAATAGAGATGTCAAAAATTTTGGATACATTGAACATGGAGAAAAAAATGGAGAGAAAGTATCTCGACTTTGTTAATATTACTTTAAAGTCTTTTTCCTGATTTGTGTTTGTTTCCAGAGCAAAAGTCATTTACTTTCCATGACAACTCAGGAGGGGATCAAAAAAAGATAAACTATTCAAAATTAATTAGTGTAAATAGAGTTCGAGTTATCCTTGGTAATAGTTTTATTGTAGGCTGGTGGATAATAATGAAAGTTGGGTTGATGAAAGGAATTGATCTTCCTTTCACAGTTTTATGGCATATATCATTTCCGGTTGTAAGATTAACATTGAACTATTGAATAATTACCAAATCAAGCTTTAATTTTCTGTCCATTTAAATATCAGTCTATTATTAAAAAATCACATACATCTTCATAAGAATGTTAAAAGAAGTATGCGAAAAGATTCAAGCGCCCAATTGTTATATTTTTGATTGAATGATTTTTTTTTTATTCAAAAAAATCTCTGCATAGACAAAAGTTACTTTGCAATGAATGTGAAGTGGTGCGTGCTTCTCACTTAGGAAGACAGGAAAGAGGCTTATATTGAGTATATTTTCCATATGACTTAGAATGTAAGGATAATGAATGAATATCACGCTATGTTATTCGCAGCAGTTCCGCTAAACGATTTCATATATGTATGCAGTTACACACATATAAATATCGTTTTGAGAATTATCGTTTTCTAATCAAAATTTTTTTTTAGAATTAAATTAAATTATGGGATAATCTTTCTCTGGTTTATATCAAATTGTTATATTTTTGATCGAATGCTAAACCTGAATTTGAGTTTGTAGTCGAACATCACCAGTTGTTCATTAGTTAATCACAGATAGGGAAACACAATCTGCAAAGATCAAAATTAAGTAGTTTTGTTGTTTTGAAGCACAAATAACAAGTCTCTCGAATTTCATTATACTAGCGATGATTTGTGTCACCCTTTGAAATTTTGTATATTTAAATCAGAAATTTTGCAAATTACTGCAAGTAATTACAATTCACTAGTATAGCAAGCTACCACATATAACTATAAAATTTTTCGAAATTTTACGAAAGAAACTTCAGTAATCACAGAAATTGCCTGTTTATTAATTTTATCTCACGTCAAACAACTTGTTTTGTGCAAGATGCCATATAGGTGTGATTCTCTTCGTCATTTTGTCATCCAGTTTTATTGTCAAATATTTTCATCAGTTTACTATTTTGCCAATAACATAATTGAGCGCGATAAGCAATCGCTCTATTTTTCCAACTTCTATAATTTTTTTTAAGACACAATGATATGAAAATGACCGTTGTTTAAAGTATTGATCATAGAAAATTTTAGAAATTTCAAAAATTTTCTTTGAGTTTGACATAGTATGTCACAACTACAACTTGGACATCTAGTCGTTTGCTTCAGATATAGTAAGATTGAATAGAAGGATGCAAAGTGTATTCTCGGAACTTGCAGATAAGTGAAAAGAATATTGTTAACAAAGATCAGGTGATACGGATTATGGATTAAGAGTGAAAAACGGATGGATTGGGCAGAATGGCTAGCTACATCTTCATAGAGATTAAGACAGGATCGAATGATTTTTAATTACGTAAAGTCTGTTGCAGTCCCAATATAGGCAAATAAAGTCGTTAACTATTATCCATAAATTGCTTATAACTGATGATTTAATTGTCTGTGCACAGTGATGATATTTTGCATTCATCAGATTTATTGATTTTTAAAATTTCATCTTTAACATGTGATCTTGCAATAAATACTTTTATTTCAATTGGTATTTGTTCATATTTTACTGGATCTGTCAGTCATGTTTTTCCACTTATTCATGCATTATTTGCTTGGCTTATTTGTGGTAAAGTAATTAAGAGAAACAACATCCTTATTTGGACCATTAATCATCAATTTTATGAAATGATGAATAACGGAGGTATCGATAGATGTGATGTGAATAAGAAACTGCAGAGAATTAGTGAAGAAAAGT